GCGGGGCTAGGACGCTCCCAGCGTCTTTAGGAAGATCATCTATGGAGGAGGGGATGGATCGGGCAGGGCAAGGACGCCCCCAGCGTCTTCGAGAAGATCATCTCTGGAGACGTGGAGGGATCCGGCGGGGCCAGGACGCCCCCAGCGTCTTTGAGAAGATCACCTAGGGAGGAGGGGAGGGACCGGGAGGGGCTAGGACGCCGCCAGCGTCTTTAAGAAGATCATCTAGGGAGGAGGGGAGGGGTCGGGCGGGGCTAAGACGGTCCCAGCGTCTCTAGGAAGATCATCGATGGAGGAGGGGATGGAACGGGCGGGGCTAGGACGCCCCCAGCGTCTTTAGGAAGATCATCGATGGAGGAGGGGAGCGACCAGGCGGGGCTAGGAGGAGGATGAATCCGTTCCAGAGCGGCCCGTGAGGCCTCCAGGTGAGCAGAGGGGAGGCTGGAGGACCGCCGCAGGTGCATCGGCGATTTCGCCGTTGCATCGGCGATGCATCGGCGATGCGGCGCGATCCTCCGACCCCAGAAGGAGGAGGAGGAGGAGGAGGAGGAGGAGGAGGAGGAGGACGAGGACGAGGAGGAGGAAGAGGAGAGGAAGAGGAGACAGGGGAGGAAGGGGAGGTGGAGGGAAGAGGTGGAGGGAGGAGGAGGAGGAGAAGGAGAAGGAGAGGAGGAGGAGGAGGAGGAGGAGGAGGAGGAGGAGGAGGAGGAGGAGGGAGGCATCCAGGTGAGCAGAGGGGCAGGCCTCGGTGAACGCCGAGCGAGGCGGAGCCCCGCGGCCCCCCTCGCCAGATCGGCGCGGGGAGGGGGCCGCCCGCCGCCCGAGCGGCACCCCGTGCGGCCGCCGGGGGCGGGGGGGGGCCGATGGGCTTAAAAGAGGGGGCGCGCGGCCGGGCCGCGTGCGCGGGAGGATCGAGGGCCGGGTCTACGGTCGGGGCAGTGAAGGAGGGAACCCTTGGCGTTGGGGAGGGGAGCTGTGCTCCTCAACTGTGTCGCAGTTTGCCGCGGGTGTTCCTCTGGTTCTTTTTGGGAAATCGACGCTCAACTTATGGAAGACAAGGGGGCCTTGTTCCTGAGTTAGGGTTCCTGAAGTCAACGCCCCGACTGTGCCTGCTTCTGGAAGACGAATACCCTGAGATCCTGGCGTTGCGATTTGTTCACGCACGGGCGTTTTCGCCCGATTTCGGGCCCCGGGACCCACACAGATCGATCTGGCTGGAAAAATGACGCAGAGAGATGGGGTCTAGGGCTCTGGGCTTGATTTGTTTGACGATGTTGCAATTGTTCCCCGACCTTGCGGAGGGGTTCCCGTTTAGTTCTCCCTGGGGGTGTACCCCCCGGGACCTGGCCCCAGCCACGCGGCGAACGCTGGCGGAAGCCGGCGGAAGACGGCCCCATTTCGGCAGACACGCTTCCGTGCGGCACGGGCGGCCCCAAGATGGTCCAAGAGGGCCACGAGTCGCCTGCTGTTCGGACCAGACCATCCTAGATGGCTCCCACACGGCCCAGACACCGAAGAGGCCCCGCGAGGCTTTCTAGAGGGGTTCCAAGAGGGCTCCGAGAGGCAAAATTCATTGATTTCCGATGGGTTTCTGAAGACTTGATGCGCGTGCGCCTTGTCGGCTTCCCGACGCTCCAAGACGGCCCCAAAGGCCCGAAAGATCCCCCCAAGACGGACTCGGAGGCTCCCAAGAGGCCCCCAAGAGAGCGCCCAGACGGCCCAAGACGCCCCCAAGACGGCCCAAGAGGCCTCCAAGACGGCTCTAGAAGGCTTCAGGAACGCCCAAAAGAGGGGGCCCAAGAGGGGGGGCAGGGACCGACATGTTTGGGGTTCCCCGCCCAAAAAAACCCAGGAGGCCCCCAGAGGCCCCCAAGAGGCCCCAAGAAGCCTCCAGGAGGACCCCAGGAAGCCCCCAAGAGGGCCCCAAGACTGCCTCAAAGGGCCCCGAGATGGTCGGAGACGCCCCAGGGCCCGAAGACTGCCCAACAGCAGGGCTCCAAGATGGTCGGAGACGCCCCGACAAAGTGGCACAGCAGCAAACGGACAGCACGGGAGCCAGCATAAGGCGCCTTAAAGCGGCACAGCCGCACAGGCGGGAGTCAGCACAGCATTATGCGCCCTCTTCCTCGCAAGTCACGCCCACTTGTCCTCCAAGGTCGGGGGTCGTGGCAACATCACGTTCCCCGATCTTAGGAGGAGGGGCTCCCGTTCGGTATCCCCCTAGGGTCTTCTGCGGGGGTACCCCCCGGCACCCCCCTGGTCACGGACGGAACGCCGGCGGAAGCAGGCGGCACGGGCGGCCCCAAGATGGTCCGCAAGATGGTCCAAGAGAGCCACGCGTTGCCATCAGGTCGATCCAGTCCGTCCAAGATGGCCTCCAGACGGCCCAGGAAGCCCCCGAGACGCCCCAGGAGGCTTCCAAGAGGTCCCACAAGAGACCCCTAAGAGTGCAACATTATGGTTTCTCTATTTTTTGTTTTACGTTTTTGTCGCGTTCTCGCTTTGTCGACTTCCCGACGCCCCAAGACAGCCCAAGAGGTCCCAAAGATCGTCCCAAGACGGCCTCAGAGCTCCTCAAGAGACCACCCAGACGGCCCAAGACGCTCCCCAGACGGCCGAGGAAGCCTGCAAGACAGTCCGAGAAGGCCCCAGGAACACCCCAAGAGAGGCCCCCGAGGGGGAGCCGAGACCGACTTTTCGAGCTCCCCGCCCGAAGAGCCCCCCAGGAGGCCCCAAGCAGCCCGCAAAAGGCCCCCAGGACGCTCCCAGAGGTAGATTGCCCAACAGGCCCCCAGGATGGCCCGCAGACGCCCCGACAAAGCTTCACAACGTCAAACGGATAACACGGGAACCAACACAATGCGCCCCACAGGCCTCATTTTCTTTGCTGTTTCTTCTTCTCGCAATTCACGCGCGCCTGTCCTCCACCGGATCTCAGGGTATCTGGGGCCAATGCCGAATACCGCTCTCACGTTCTAGCCGCGGCACCGCGCGACCGCGGGGGGGGCCTTGGCCTCAAAGAGAGGGCGCCGGGCCGAGCCGCATGCGTGGGAGGATCGAGGGCCAATTCTACAGTCAACGCGCTTAGGAAGGACGCGCGCCTCAATCTAGGGTGCCCTCGTGTGCTTGCCTCTGCGGGCCCGTCGTTTGTCGTTTTCACGGGTCGACCGCCGCACAAAAAATCAGAATTCCGGCGTCCAAGGGTCCTGCGTTTTTGCCACCCGTTTTCAATGCAAGTTTTGGTTGCGCCTGAGGGTCAGATCGACCTGCTTCTAGAAGACGAATATTTGAGGCCAGTGCCAAATACCGCTCACACGTTCTAGCCCAGAGCGTATATGGACATACTGGGTGCCGTGACGTCTATAGACGCATTCGGGGTGGATACGTCTATGGACAACGCGGCCGCTGCGTTCGGCGCAGTGCAAGGTTGGAGAAAGGGTAGATCCGTCTGCGGTATGTTCGTGTTCTAAAGCAGTTCCCACATGGTACTCCAAAGTGGAATGATCGAGGGCCCAGATCTAGGCCTCCCAGGTGGACTCCGAGCACATGGGGTCGGAGGGTCGCGCCGCATCGCCGATGCATCGGCGATGCGAGGCGATGTGAAGCCCGATTTTCTCCACCCCGGCGGCGCCGATGCATCGCCGACGTCGACGGTGCATCGGCGATGCTGCGCGATGCTCCGACCCCATTCACGCACAAACGAAATGGATACGGGTTGAATGGGCACGAAAACCAACAGCAGTTCGTGTTCATTTAGAGCAGGACTCGCTTTCAGTGTCGCCGCGGACGTTGCCCATTTGAGACAGAAAGCCGCCTGGCCAACATCGGCCGTTAGCCGGTGGTGGACCCCCTTGTTGTTTGGCATCGTACCCATTGTTCCCCATACCCATTTCGGGCGTCCAAACAGATATCCGACGATATTGTAAGAAGAAGTCACGGCATAAAAGCAATTTCTCAGAGGTCCGCGCGGATTTCTTGTCGCCGATTCAAGAAATCCGCTCGGACCTTCGAGACATTATTTGTATGTCGCTTCTTGTTCCTCCAGGTACGAGCTGCTTCAATCCTGGCTCTTTTCTTAGATTTCGGTCTCAAGGGCCGAAGGGATATCAAAAACGCACCCAGGACGAAAGCTACCCCCAGGGAAGCGGTCTGGACCTCAGGGTCCGCGGATTGGAAAAAATCCGAGGTAGGAGGGGGATGGGGGAGGAAGGATGGAGGAGGAAGCCTGAGATCTTGGCATTGCAATTTTCTCACCCTTGGCGTGATCGCCAGGCCACAGGGCCATCACAGATCGATCTGGTTTGAAAAATGCCGCAGAAAGATCCGGCGTAGAGCTCAAGTAGAGATGGTCTGCAATGATGCAGTGTTTCACAACGCCGGATCTCAGGCAATGAGGAAGGATGGAGGATGAGGAAGGAAGGAAAGAAGGAACACGGAGGAGGAGAAGGAGGACGAGTTCGATTCAATCGCTCTCGCGTATTCGATACGAGGGCGACGAAGACAAAGGTGGAGAAGGGGGCCGCCCTCACAACCGATCCCCCCCAGACCGGCCCCAGACCGCGGTGGAGGAGGAGGAAGGACCCCCCTACGGGCTTGACGACTCTGCGCTTATCGACGTGCCAGGGGTCCAGCTTGATATACATCGAGGCAGATCTGTTCAAATCTGGTGCAATCCCGTATGGATCGATGTACGTGGATCTAGTGATCTTCAGGGAGGCAGCTAGGGAGATCGTGGAAGATCCAGCGCGGGCCGCAGGATCGCAAACAGCGGCGAGCCCTTGACGAGTGAGGCCTGGGCTGGGGATTCCTCCTCGCCTGCCCATGCCTCCAAGGATCTGACCTCTGTCAGCCCAGGCGCTCTTCCTCGAGCTCAGCCTCTCGGGCCCGATGCTGGGCCCCGGGGCCGTCAGGGACTGATCCGGGGCGAAGATGTGGACCAGATGGGGGTGTCGGGCCGTGCAGGGCCGCGCATGGAGAAATCTCATCGTTGGCTGTCTGGGGCCTCATCCCGTGCCTCCCTCGTCCTCCTCCTCCTCCTCCTCTTCCTCCTCCTCCTCCTCCTCCTCCTCCTCCTCCTCCTCCTCCTCCTCCTCCTCCTCCTCCTACCCCTCCCCCTCCTCCTCCTCCTCCTCCTCCTCCTCCTCCTCCTCCTCCTCCTCCTCCTCCTCCTCTTCTCCTCCTCCTCCTCCTCCTCCTCCTCCTCTCTCACCCCTCCCCTTTTTCTGCCTCTGCATCTTCTTCCCATCGCCTCTCTCAGTCGAGCCTTTTCTGGCCGAGGCGATATTGGGCCTTGCAACTGCGAACTTCAGAGAGGCGCGCTGCAGTTGCGAGTCATTCAACACGGTCTTTGGAACATCCAGTGTCCGCCACGTGATACCCTTAGATGGACAAGTTGTCTCCGATAAAATGGGAGTTGTAGCGGTGTGACAGCTGCGGGTGTTCGAAGAACAAGTACAGTTCATGGTGGTGCAGACATTGTCAGCACGGTCGATTATTGGACTACCCATGCTCTCTTGAATCTTGATCGTGAAGCTTCTCAGCTCCAGCCTCTTAGTCTTTCCCCAGGGCCAGTCGGTGACTCCGGAGGCGGAAGTGGCATCGGGACGTTTTGGGAGAGTTTGCCCGCCCTTCCCTCCAGTGATCAGCTTACCATGGATGGCCTCACGGCGGAGGAACCGGAATGTCCCATCACTTTGGCCACGGAGCAGGGCCAGCCCGACTTTGTCACGAAATACCGAAAGAAGGGAGCAGTTGTGGAGGCGAGGGCCCGCCCCAAGACGGAGTCCACTTCCAGCCTTCACACTCGTGCTTCTCAGGCCCACTCAATGACCAAGTGGATTGAGAATCGTCGGCTTGGTGGGTTAGATCTGCTCGACAAGTGGGAGCAGGACGTTTCATCATTGAAAGAACACATCAAGTCTCTCGCGGACGAGCTCGATTCCCACGAGGCGGCCTACCGCGAGCTCGCCACCCAGATTCGCGACCAGTGCCCTCATTGCAACGACAAGGGACCCAAGACGCTCAACCCCAACGCCTGGGTCGAGGGGGGGCGACTTCGAACATTCGCTGGAGGACGACTTTTTTGCACTTGCATGGACGAGTATAAGATGTCCCAGCAGGACACTGAGCAGTTGGAGGCTGCGTCGAAGATTCTTTAGTCAGGAGCTCGTGATCTTGCCAAGAAATATGTCAGTGAAGTATCGGCATCTCTCGGCGGCCCGGAAGGAACATCGTGAAAATTGAAGCTCGCTTAGCAAAGACAAGAAGAAGCAGATCGACGGCGGAGCAGCACCAGGTTGAGGTCCAGGGGATCCAGTTCAGCGTCCTGAGGGTGGTGAGCCTGCACCAACTGAGGTTGGAGGTGGAACCTCAGCCGTTGCCACTGCTGCCCAATCTTCTATTTCTCAGGAGCCCTTTCGTGCTGCACCGTCTGGACGTAGAGGCCCCCCCCACCCCACCCCCCCACCCCCCTTCGGGAGTCAACCCCTTTGCTCCAGCAGCGCCTCGCGAAGCAGGGCTGGAACTAAACGGTGTTTTGGCGATTTCGTGGGCCGTTTTCGTTTCGATTCCGTTTTGCAGTAAAAGGCAAAACGAAGGAAAGCGAGAACAAAACGAAAACGAAAAATACCGTTTGGGTTAAGCCCTGTCACGAAGGCCATGGAGAAGACAGGCGATTCGTTTCAGAGCCACCCGCTTTCTGCGAGCGGAGGGCAAGGTAAACTGCGTTTCAGGCTCGGCCAGAGCGCAGGCGGCTCAAGCTTTGAATGAAGAGCGGCCCTGCCGGAGCGCCTCGCCCCGCAGCTACGCCGACCCCTCATCGACAAGTGCCAGTGATACGTTCCAGTATGTGATACGACCTGTCTGTGCCTGCTGATCCGTTCCCGCCCTCAGAGAAGGGCCGACTCGTGGTCAGAACAGCCAAATGCAACAGCTGGGCTACCTCTAGGGATTGGACCAGCCAGCGCAGCAGCATCTATGTCAGGGCGATGTGATTCAGGAAGCGGCCAAACACTATCTGCCGGCCCACTGGAAATCTGCCTGGGAGCCCGCTGCGCGAAAGCCCGAGTGGGGGCACGTCGCGCGCCGCGGCCGCAGCGGCAATAAGTTCGTCAGATTCCGTCGGGAGGGTCGACGAGAGCGCCTGGCCGAGCCACTGGTGTTTTACACCTTCCAGGTTGGCTTCCCACCTCTACCGTTCCTACATGTGGATTCGACTCGGAGGGCGTGACTGCCCGCCAGACCGACCCCTCAAGGACGTCGGCGCCGATGGTTCTTTCTCGGCAGGCCCCGCCCTTATTGGTCGTCAATTTCAATGTCGATCCAGAGGCTATCCTGGAAGCGTGGTCTGTGGGGCATATCAGGGGGGAGCTGGCGTCCTCGGGCGTTTCATCCCAGGGCCCCAGAAATTATTTCGCGGTCTGGAAGCTTGGGTCAGGGAGTTCGAGTCGGTGCGTGAGTTCCCAAGACGGCCACCTCTCTGGAATGCAATCCGCAGCTTGCGACGTTGCAAGCCTCGGGGCGCAGGAAGCCCCCCGTCTGCCTGCGGCCCCACCCCCTGGACCTCCCCCTCGCCCCAGAGACTTCAAGTCGCGCGCCAAGCTGTTTAACGCATGCGGGAACGCCTTGTCTTCTAGGGTTGCTGAGCGCTTGGGCCGCTCGCTGCATAGCGCCTACAAGCAGCGGACAAATCATTCTGAGGAGGAGCCCCAGGCAGCGCTCGCAGTCGCGCTTCCGCACCTGGGAGCCAGGGAGAAGGGCCCCGAGATCGCGCGGCGTTTTGTTTTACACGCAAGACGCCAAACGCATCCGCAACCCTCAATTGCGCGCGTTTCGCCGGGTCACCGCTCGCTACACGGCGGCGGGCGTCATCGCCAGGCCCATCGCGTCCGCCTAGGGCATCAGCAGCGGGAACGTCAACGCGGCTAGATCATTCCCCGCGGCGCTTCAAGAGGCCCCTAATTGGGTCTGCGCTCGCCCCGGGGAGTTGCAGGAGCACCCTGCTGCGATCCCCGTAGGTTCTGAGAGGTTGGCCCGAGGAGCTTTACGAGATTCAAAGTAGGCCTTCCTGCTGGGGCGCACTCAGCGCCATGAGAAGTTGGCCCAGCGGGGACGGCACTTTCGGTCGACGGAGAAGCTCAACGGGGGGGGCAAGAACGCCATGCACCGCCACCGCAGACCCCCTCACCTAGACCCCATTCCACAACCGTCTCCTTCGAGCCAGAGCCCAGGCCCAGCCCCCACCAACCTGGACGTTAACCCCGAGAGCCAGGCCAATACACGCGGCAAGCCGCGGCGCGTCAGGGCCACGGTGCCCAGCACCAAGATCCATCATAATCCTGCGATGCCGCCCGCGCCAGCCCTGAATCTTCGCGCTTTCAGCAGGTCTCACCCCGAATGGAGCGCGGTTTCCGCCAACGGATCCCATACCAGGCATTCAGTATTTGAGCGATGAGAGTTTGTCGGCGTTTGTCCGGATTTGCGGTTCCATGGAGCGCTCAGGCGTCTTTCCATCTCAGATCCGATCTGCGCCCGCAGCCCTGATCAACAAGGCTGTCGGAGGATGCCGCCCGGCGGGGGCTTTCCCGCCGCCCTGCCCAACCTGGGGCAAGGCCCGGAGACCGCCGTGTGACAGCTGGAAGGTGACCATTCCAGGGGTAATGGCTGTTTGTTGGAAAGAATTGCGGGGCCTTGGATACCGTCTGGAGGAATGCTTTGGATTCGAGCCAGGTGTTCGTCGGGGCATGCATCTGGCTTCGTTTCTCTGGAGCATGTTGACATACAATGCGGGCATCTGTCTTGAGCTGGTGAGACCCAGTAAGAAAAGCACCAGGTTCCGCTTGCTGTCGTGAAAACGCGCACTTCTGCATACCAGTCTGCGCGATACATCTTTTTAGTCAGCATCATTGCGGGTCCCCTCTCTGCAACTCGCAGAGCCGTTGCAGGTGACAGCTCTGCGACGACCATGATACGAGCCCACTCCTTCGACGCTTGCAATACTATCCCTCGTGCGCTCCCAGGCTGTCAGCGTCGCCAATCCAGTTTCAGGCAGCAGGTCGAGATCGGTGCGCAGCCTCTTGGGGGGAGACCTTGGTTGGCAAGCTCTGGCATCACCTGTGCTCAGGTCTACAAGGAGACGTGGCTGCTTTGTTCTCGTATGTGTCGTTTTCCGTTGGACTGGCCCGCCAGTCGGAGTTCCTGGGAGTCGGCCACCTCGAATGACACCGAGAAGGACGCTGCCCATGAACTCGTCGTCGGGCCCCGACGCGCAGCTTGGTTCTTTTCCGCCAAAGGCAAGCACCCCCAGCAGTGCAAGACGGGGGGGGATGTACATTTTTCTGCGCTCGTCATCGTCAGTATAGCAGCTGCCCGGAAGGAGGTACGCACATCCGCAGTTTTCCGAATGCGTCATTGTTAGAACCCTCCATTATTTGATCACCCTGTGCGCAAGGATGTCTTGCAATCCACCAAGCAATTCGCAGTGTGAGCGCACTGGCACGACGAGGTGCACGCCAGGCCGTGAAGGACGCAGTACGGCTACAGCTGCATGTGCAGACCCTGTGTCCGTGGGAGAATCCAGCCCTCGTGGGCGCCACAACGCCCTGGACCCGGGTGCGGCTTGTGCGCTGCAGTGTCGGCGTACATCTCGCTTTGGGAGCGCTGCGCACGCCGGATGACGCACATGTTGCTAAGTACCCGTGTTACCACTCTTGGTTTCTGCCAAGGGCCTCGGCACCCACACGGGCGCCTGTATAGCTTTGATCGTGGTGGAGTCTCCATGAGGAGGTTCACCATCTTGGCGCCATGGGTGGCACCCAGTTACAAATTCTAGACGCTTCGCGTATCCCCACCAGCCCGTCCAGAAATGAGTCCCAGGGGAGTGGAGGTTATGAGGGAAGCGGGGGAGCATGCAGAAGAACAGAGGGCGGGGTGAGCCGCCATATACCCCAAGAGGGGGAGGATGTAGGAGGAGCCGTCGTCGTCGGAGTAGGAGGAGGAAGAGGAGGAGCAGGAGGAGGAGCAGGAGGAGGAGCAGGAGGAGGAGGAGGAGGAGGAAGATAAGGAGGAGGAGATGGAGGACTGCGAGGACGAGGAGGACGAGAAGGAGGAAAAGGAAAAGGAGGAGGAGGAGGAGGAGGAGGAGGAGGAGGGGGAGGGGGAGGAGGGAGGAGGAAGAAAAAGAGGAGGAGGAGGGAGGACAATGGCGAGCTTGGGGGCCTCTTGGGCCGTCTTTGGGGCCTCTTGGCGGTCCCGGGGGCCTCTTGCGTATCTCGGGGAGCCTCTTGTGGCCTCTTGGGGGTCTCTTGGGGGCCTCTTGGAGGCTTCTTGGGGCCCTCTTGGGGCGCTCTTGGGGCGCTCTTGGGAGCCTTCGAGGCGCTCTTGGGGCCATCTTGGATGAGATCTATCAAAAAAGGGGGGGTTGCTTATTAGCCTTGCCCCTCTAGAGTGCCTCGAGTCGCCTCTTGGGCCCCCCCAAGAGGCCAAAATCCTTCCAAAACCTAGGTAAAATCAATGTTTTGTGCTTTCTCGCGTTTTCGCTCTTGGAGCCGTCTTGGGCCGTCTTGGGAGCCTCTTGGGCCTCTTGGGGGTCTCTTGGGAGCCTTTTGGAGGCTTCTTGGGCGCCTCTTGGGGCCTCTTGGGGCGCTCTTGGGGCGCTCTTGGGGCGCTCTTGGGAGCCTTCGGGGCGCTCTTGGGGCCATCTTGGAGGAGATCGATCAAAGAAGAGGGGGTCCCCAATTAGCGTTGCCCCTCTAGAGTGCCTCGAGTCGCCTCTTGGGCCCCCCAAGAGGCCAAAATCCTTCCAAAACCTACGTAAAATCAATGTTTTTTGCTTTCTCGCCTTTTCGCTCTTGGAGCCGTCTTGGGCCATCTTGGACTCTCTTGGGGCCTCTTGGGGGTCTCTTGGCAGCCTCTTGAGGCTTCTTGGGGGCCTCTTGGGGTCTCTTGGGGCCCTCTTGGGGCGCTCTTGGGGCGCTCTTGGGAGCCTTCGGGGCGCTCTTGGGGCCATCTTGGAGGAGATCTATCAAAGAAGGGGGGAGCCTCAATTAGCCTCGCCCCTCTAGAGTGCCTCGGATCGCCTCTTGGGCCCCCCCAAGAGGCCAAAATCCTTCCAAAACCTAAGGAAAATCAATGTTTTGTGTTTTCTCGCCTTTTCGCTCTTGGAGCAGTCTTGGGCCATCTTGGGCGTCCCAACGCGTCGCGGAACGCCCCGTCCAGGTCAGTGGGGAGGGGTAAGGGGAGGGGTAAACCCCTCCCCGAAGGGAAAGAAGGGGGGTTGGCAGAGGAAACTCTCTAGACCACCTACGCCCTAAAGGGCTGGTGGGATTAGCCCCGCCCCTCTAGAGTGCCTCGAGTCGCCTCTTGGGCCCCCCCCCCAAGAAGCCAAAACCCGTCCAAAACCTACAGAAAATCATTGTTTTTTGCTTTCTCGCCTTTTCGCTCTTGGAGCCGTCTTGGGCCATATTGGATTCTCTTGGGGCCTCTTGGGAGTCTCTTGGGAGCCTCTTGGAGGCATCTTGGGCGCCTCTTGGGGCCCTCTTGGGGCGCTCTTGGGGCGCTCTTGGGGCGCTCTTGGGAGCCTTCGGGGCGCTCTTGGGGCCATGTTGGGAATATATATCAAAGAAGGGGGGAGCCTCAATTAGCCTCGCCCCTCTAGAGTGCCTCGGATCGCCTCTTGGGCCCCCCCAAGAGGCCAAAATCCTTCCAAAACCTAAGGAAAATCAATGTTTTGTGCTTTCTCGCCTTTTCGCTCTTGGAGCAGTCTTGGGCCATCTTGGGCGTCCCAACGCGTCGCGGAACGCCCCGTCCAGGTCAGTGGGGAGGGGTAAGGGGAGGGGTAAACCCCTCCCCGAAGGGAAAGAAGGGGGGTTGGCAGAGGAAACGCTCTAGACCACCTACGCCCTAAAGGGCTGGTGGGACTTGCCCTCGCCAGTGCATGCTCGCGTCCTGGATGTGGACCGCAGCCGCCCAGACAAACACCACGCGAGTTTTGCAGTCAGCACTTCCTGGTGCAGCTAGCACGACGGTTCAGCCACGCTCGCTGCTCACATGGTTCTTCGCCCCATCGTCTACGCCAACTTTTTCGGCAACTGCGAGCTGCCTTGTTTCCGTTGGCTCTTCCTCGAGGCGGGCTCCGACGGCGACTTCATCATGACATACACCGCCCATGGTCCACGATGAAGTTTTCAGGCATGCCGCTGACACCTACCGCTGTCGTGCCGCGCGCTGCCCAAACGCCTTGTCAACGGCCCTAACCCAAGGAGCAAGGAAGTCACCCCGCCAGCGTGCCATACTACGGGCGGCACTGGCCACGGCCGCTTGTCAACATTACTACAGGCACGCGGCCCAACCACCCACTCAACAATGTGGCAGTGCTGAGGGCGATTGACAAGCAATCTGGGCACATCTGTGCCACTCGCTTGACCCCAGACCCGTAGTTCAACGCTCTAGCGCATACTGTGCGCCCTGGCGCGCACGGAGGGTGTGGCTTCAGGCATGTTGACACCTTTGTCGCGCCTTTGGCCGCAAGACTACGTCTGTGCCTTTCGCTGCGCCTTTCGGCCTGGGCGCGCCGCCACGCGACAACCTGTGCACCCTTTCGGACGGGGCAGGTCGTTGAAGCCGTCGCCAAGCCGACGTGCGCTGTCGAGCCAATGGAGAGCTGGCGGCGATCGGTGCGCTGCCTTTGCCTCGAGGTCCCTTCCTCCTCCTCCTCCTCCTCCTCCTCCCCCTCCTCCTCTTCTCCTCCTCCTCCGTCTCCGCCTCCACCTGCCTCCTGCTCTCTCCGCCTCCTCCTCCTGCTCCTCCTCCTCCTCCTCCTCCTCCGCCTCCTCCTCCTCCTCCTCCTCCGCCTCCTCCGCCTCCTCCTCCTCCGCCTCCTCCTCTGCCCCCTCCATGACGACAGCGACAACGGCGACGGCGGCGGCGGCGGCAACGGCGGCGACCCTCTGCCGCGGAGCTGCGCTCCAGGCCCGCGACGGGGCCGCGCCGGCGCTGCGGGCGGTCGGCACCGCCCGCGCCGCGCCAGCGATGGGGCTTTGGGACCGCCGGCGGCTGGGCTGCAGCAGGCGGCTGCCAGCGCGGCTGTCTGCCGGGGGCCGCCGCTGCCGCCGCCGCGGGCCGCGTTGCGCCGAGGTTTTTCGGCGGCCCCCGTCGAAGAAGGAAAAGACGGCGTAGACATAAATCGTCTCAGCTCCGCGCGGATTGCTTGGATCTGCGCCGGAGCTCCCAGGCAGCGCCTCTGGCGCCGCTCCTGGCGCTCTCCGCGCGCCCTGGAGGGGGTTCCAGCCCGGATCCCAGGAAATCCGCTCGGACCTCAAACAGTGTATGCGTTCCGCCGTTTTCTATCGACTACATGTACGAGTGACCCTTCGCCAGAGTGACCTTTGATGCGGGCTCATCGGGCTCCCCCCGATCGTTGAGCGCGATACGATAGCGGCTGCCTGCGCGCTCGGATTTGGCCACCTTGCGCCCCCGTGGTCCGCGCTTTAAAGGTCGCGCCTTCCTAGGGCCACTCCTGCGTGTAGCAATTTTCTATTCCGTTGTATCCAGCACCTGCGCCTCCCCGAGAGCATTCCGGGCCCCAGGGGTACCCGGATCCTCCCGAGCGGATGCCAGGCACCCGAGCGGTGGCCCCGCCGAATGCCAGGCCTCCTTTTCTTGCTCCTCCTCCCCCTCCTC